TACATGTTTTTATCTTATATTAATAATATTAATGAATTTACTATTTTAAAGAATAATAAAATGAAATTAATTATCTATGTATTTTGAAAATCCTCAATTACTCCTCTAATTAAGGAAATTAGTTCCAAACAATTAATTTAAATAAATAAATTTTGTATCTCAATTTTAAAATTCGGCAGATACATGTATCTCATGGATTCAGACTCATGTATCCTAAGCATAAAATATGGTACATGAAGTAATATTTGAAACTATTGGGAATCTTAATAATTAAGACCTAAACTAGCGGGATTTATGTGGTTTGCCCTTCTAATATCTCAAAGAAGTATTGATATTATTATTTATATTAATTCTATTAAATGAGTGTTAATATCTTTTTGATTATATCATAAATCACTAATAAAGCTGGTAATATATATGGCATGACATTCACTCTTACACTTTATTTCTATTCCTTTAAGACATTGGCAGCTTATTTTCCTTCGCATGTATAATCTTGTTTATGTAATATTGATTAGGTAGAAGTGAAGAAATCCGAGAGCTAAACTTATATTTTTATTTTATTGTGCTGGATTTACTTTCTATTGAATCTTTGTTAGTTTCTGGCTCCTAATTTTATATTAGAAAAAACTTATTGAATTCTTCGACACGCTAGAGTTTCCTACAAAAATTTATGGTAAAGTGTAATCTTTGGTGAATTCAATTCAAGTGTTCATGAAGAATTTGTAGGGGTATATATATGTATGTAGAGTGTTTAAAGTTGTGGGTTAAGGGTGTTGTTTTGAGTTGAGGAAATTTAGAGGGTGGAATAGGGAAAACTTGAGGGAGTGAGAGTGTGGGGGGTAGATTAGAGAGTATATTTAGGATACATGGTTGGGGTAGTTTTAGGTTAATTTCTTTTAATTAAATATAATAAAAATTATAATAATAAAAATATTAGCTAAAAATATAAGAAAAGTCAAATAGCTAGTTTTAAAATAAACTTAAGAAATACTAGCTTATTTATAAGGAAAACTCTAAATTAAAACATATATTTTTGGAATATTCCTTTTCTTTTGAAGAAATTGAAAATAAAACTTAGGTGTAAAACATCATCAAAAATCACGTGTCTACCACAAATACAATAAATTACTGTGGAAAATAAAATCGCTCTCTTCAAAAACATTCAGTCAACTACGACATAATCTATACCGATCCAACAATATATCTCTTTACTTGTCCACTCCAGGATACAACAGCCTAACAACGTGTACAACTCAAGCAACTCCAGATTTAGTTGAAGAGTCCAAAACTCCACAAAAAAACACCTTTCTTCAACATATAAATATTCTCAAGCATGTCTCAACTCTCTCTTCCACTACACTAACCTCAATATAAATTTCTCATCTTTTCTTACATTATTTCTCTTTCTATATTTCAACCCAAAGGAAGACCACTATTTATAGGTTACAAGACTAAAAATAGAATAATTGGTGAAATGAAGAGTTGGTGATTACATAAGTTATTAACAACTAATGATCACTTTCTTCCACAATTATGAGAGTAAAGAGGCACAAATATAATCTCCACAAATGGACATAACATGATACATAATGTGACATATGATATATTTTTATTAATATTAAAATGTCACACTAACACCTATTTCTTCAATACGTGAGAATTTATAAAATATGCCACAACATTTTACCATTGAGCAATTTGGTTTATTCCGGGGACTTAACTCAAGGTAGTGCATTCTAATAATTATTAGACTCTTGCCACATGAATGCACAAACATAGAGTATATCAAATGAAGAGCAAAATAATAGAAGATGGTAAGACTAATAAGATTGCCAGAGTATTATCACGTGGTAAAACTAATAAGATTGTCAGAGTATTGTGTGTGGTAAAGACTAATAAGCTGCCGTGATAAAACTAACAAGATTGACAAAGTATGGTGTGTGGTAAGACTAATAAGATTGACAAAATATTGTGATATAACGTCATCAAAAGAATTCAAATCCACCCATAGTAGTCCACCTCTAGCAAATATCAAAAGTAGTTCTCTCATATCAACCTCTAGCAGTCCACCCCTAGTAGTCCATCTCTAGCAAATATCAAAAGTAGTTCTCTCATATCCACCTCTAGCAGTTGGGGGAGTGGCTGAAATTTGTGGTTCTGCAAGAGTTTGACAAAATTATTAGAGGGGGCAGGATGATCAACAAGTCAAGTCTGTGGGAATGCACTCTAAAATTGAAGAAAGTGCAATCAATTTACCTGGAATACTTCAGATTCAGCCTTGTAGTCTCCACAATCAAAAATTAGCTCACCATGGAGACAATTCCATTCCCGATATTGACTGATATTATATGATGCTACACAAATAACAAAGCAAATTAGGTGAATTTGAACAGTGCTTTAGGAGTGTCATGTGTCATATGTATTCTAATGAAGTTGAAAAAGAAAAATCTAATAGTATATCATTCAGACACAATTACAGAATGACAAGTAATCAAAGAGTGCTCAAAACAGAATGATCCTATGGACATATGAAATACAGAATTACTCCTGTTTTTTACTTGCGCCTACTCTCATAGAATGTTGGCATCTCTACTGCACTGGATAGGTGAAAACAGAAACATTTTGCCTTGGGAGGATGAAATCAAGTGGGTATCCAAGAGGGTCAAAACAATAGGCCTAGAGCTGGTATACTGAGATTTTTTTTTGGCTGCAACCATTTATCACATTTGGGTTGAGAGAAATGCAAGAAGATTCCAAACTATCAGTACTGATCCTAATCACAGAATTAGAGCAAGAAGATACCCAACTATCAGTAGTGATCCTAATCACAGAATTAGAGCAAGAAGATACCGAACTATCAGTAGTGATCCTAATCACAGAATTAGAGCAAGAATATACCAAACTATCTGATACTAATCACAGAATTAGAGCAAGAAGATACGGAACTATCAGTAATGATCCTAATCACAGAAATAGAGCAAGAAGATACCAAACTATCAGTATTGATCCTAATCACATAAATAGAGCAAGATGATACCAATCTATCGGTACTGATCCTAATCACAGAAATAGACAGATTGTGCTCCAGCTTCGCATTGAGGACAAAAGCAGAGCAAATGGTCAAGAACCTAGATAGCCTGAATAGTTTTCCTACTTAGACAGATACTGCATGTATCATATAGTGAAGTAGATAAACACTGAGATCTAGTTAAATCCTTCCAGGACAGCACCTAAATCTTTACCAATTATTTTGCATAATAAATTCAACAACACTGAAATATTAACCGGATTATGAGAACTTACAAAGATTGGAAATGGAGCATAGTTCGTCAATAGTGGTGTTTGAAGAACTGACGATGAGCCGCCAGTTCTCCCGGCGAGCGGAAAAGATTTGAACAGTCATTGCAAAATAATTTCTTGTTGTTTTGGGGTAAATCAGCGTGAACAACTCTGAAATGCTCCAAAAGGTCTTTGACAGATTTGAATTTCCTTCCATTATCACATTGCAGACACAAGACATTTTCTCGACTAGGAGGATTGAGCAACAGTTCTTTTTGTTCCTCTTCAGATAGCTCTTCCACAACGACGGGAGGCATGATTCCATGCAAAATTTCGCCGGAGATTGAAAATTGTGAGGGGTAAACTCGCCGGAGAATGGTGTGGATTGGGGAGAAAGAAATCGATTTTTGGCGTGTGGCCAATTAATAGGATTTGCCTTTTTTATATTCCCGCTAACAACTTCCGGGTAATTGCAGATGATTTTACATTTGAGCTAAATCTTCAAATTAGAGTTATTTTTTTTATGCACAAGCCTAAACTATATGTCACAAAATTAGAATTTTATTGATATTATTGTGATTATTCTTGTAAAAGAAAAACAGTACTATATTTACATGATAACTGCTGTAATGAATTTCATTGGTGATTAGAGGTCATGCCATTTGCTAGAAATTGGAAGAAATATAAGCGTTGTGAAGAAAAATGTCATTGATCTAAAATAAGTTGATGCTCATTGTCTCTCCAATTTTCTCCTATATTTCCATGGAATTGAATCGGTAAGAATGATGCTATAGATGATATTTTCATGGTTGTAATAATAAAGCAAAGTTGCCAAATATCGTAGAGAAGTTGGCAGCGGATCTAGAGGCTAGATATATACATAATTTTTTTTTTACATATATATACATTTTGAACATAAGATTAGAAGTTGACTTAGTAATTAAGGAATTCATACTTTTCTTTAAAACTAATGTTTAAATCTCAAGCACTACGTTAAAAACATGATAGGATAAAAGGAGGCATGGCACTTATTTATAATGAGATGATGATGACAACTAGTAAATTTTTCCGCGTGAAATGATATCAATTAATTAAGTAGTCCAATCCGAAGGTTGCGAGTTCGAGTCATTAAGGGAGCAATAGGGGTGAGAACTCGTAGGGAGGATAAAATGAATAAATAAATAAAACTTAAGCAAGATGAAAGGGCATTGTAGTCATTTCACTGTCTTAGTTAGTTATAAAGAAGTTATTAGGAAGTTAGTTAGCTTGTTAATCGACTGAGTGATTAACAAGATGGGAAAACCACATAAATCCCACTAGTTTAGGTCTTAATTATTAAGATTCACAATAGTTTCAAATATTTACTTCATGTACCATATTTTATGCTTAGGATACATGAATCTGAATCCATGAGATACATGTATCTACCGAATTTTAAAATTGAGATACAAAATTTATTTATTTAAATTAATTCATGTTTGGAACTAATTTCCTTAATTAGAGGAGTAATTGAGGATTTTCAAAATACATAGATAATTAATTTCATTTTATTATTCTTTAAAATAGTAAATTCATTAATATTATTAATATAAGATAAAAACATGTATATCTTGGTAATGCAATTTGATTAATTTCAAATAATTACTCTTAAAATAATAAATTCATTAATTTGATGTATCTATTATCAATATATGATGTATCCAACAAACTAAACACTTAGATACATGAGTGTCCTGCAAGTACATTCATATGTATCATAGAAGTATCTAGCATTAATTTCATGTATTTGTTATAGGTATCTAGTATCGATATTATGTATATATATATATA